AGCGCTACATCCAATTGTTCCTATATAAAGGAAGGAAAAAATGTGTTAAACACTTAGTAAAAACAGGCCAAGTAAGACATTACTTAAACAACAGCAAGTGAGGAAATCTAATAATTACGCTTTTACAATAGCCAAGACTGTACACTACTGGACAATTTCGAGGTGCTCAAATGTTGCTTTCTGCAGCCTCCAGTACTTCAGTTTAAAATTCCTGTCAGCCAGACAGTTCCATCAGTTCCAAGAACAAGCACAGTAAAAAGTACACTACTTCACTGTAGTCAAATTCAAAGGGATGTTTACTTTGTGAGGGTCTAGGACCACAATATGGGACCACTAACTTGGTCTGCTCCCACTCCTAAGAAAAATCCAGATCTGGGGAAAAAAAAATGAAAATGCTCCACAGGTGTTTCCAGCTCAAGCAACTCAATTATAGACTTCTTAACCCTCTGACCGCAATCTATTAAATGGAATTAACACTGTCTCACTTAAAAGTTCACTGTGAAATACGTCATTTATGGAGTACCAGCACAATGATCAGTACCATAGGAGAAGAAATGAAAGCACGCACACACACAAACACACAACTATTAGTTCTGCCATCAGAGCTGCGTCTGAGCACACCAACAGCTTTGCCATAAATGAAGTCAATCTCTTATGTGCACTGAACAAAAAAAACTAAAATAGGATCATATACTTAATGAATAATAAGGCTTCCAAGAATTTGACCGTGTAGCTTAATAACATAATTCTCACTTAGATGCTGTAGTATGTTCAGAGATACACAGCCTAACTCTAGTTATTTTCAACCAATAATGCAAGAAATTAAAACAAGAATCAACAACATATGATAATATACAAAGCTAGCAGGTATTTTCTCTCCTTGCTAGTCACTAAATCCATTTCAGTTCCTATTAATTAAGGATCTTGCAATGTAGTCTTGCTCTTGCAAATAGAAAACACAGGTGACGGTTAGTCTCTATGTATTTTTACTTACTTCACTGGAAAATGTTGATGAACTACTTCATTAGCCACAAAATATTTACAGATTTTAATCCTAAAGATTTGGTGGGGGGGGTTTGTTGCTGTTGGGCTTGGGCGGGTGTGTTTTATTTTGCTGGGGTTTTTTAAGCAGATAAATATTTTCTTTAAGCACAGAAAAGGAGAGTAGAATACAATCAAATACCATTATTTTTCCCTAAGCAAAATAGTAAAAGGACAAGTAACCTAAAGGTTCAAAACTTCTTTAAATAGTTACTCAGCAATTTAAATTTCAGCAATATACTGATTTAAAACTAATATTTTTTCCCTCTCTTATTTCATGCAGAACAGCTGTACAAAGAGAGAAACCGGGATATCAAACTGCCCATGAACAGAGCTCTTAAACACAGAGCACATTCATCTTTTCAGCTACATTTTTCAATGGTTCCTTCTACTGCAGCCACCTTGCATTTTATTTGTAACATAGTATAAGAGTAAAATCAATGTTAAAATCTAAATTACAAGAAGAAAAAAAAAGAAAAAAGAAAAAAGGAATGGATATAAGCAGAGGCACTCAACTATTGAGAAGGCTCATTACTAAAATACTAATTAGAGGAATATGATTCTATATTAATTAAAGCATGTATTTCACAGGAACACTCTATGAACCTCAGGATGACTTACAGTCTCCCATATGTATAGACATAATTCCAGTAGAAAACAAGACACTTTCATAGGAGGGAAATAAGATATTGCTATAAATTCACAAACAATAAATACAAATATTGAATATGATTATTTGGCTAGCTGTGAATTGCTAGCACCAACCAACATGGCACATTCTACCAGATTTTAGTACAAGCAGAATTTGCTCTGCAAAGCCGTTACTGGAAGGAAGTAAAGATGCATATCTCCTTTTAAGCAACTTCAATGTTTGCTTACAAGGAATAAACGGCAAGTAAATGAAAGCAATAGGAATGAAAGCTGAATGATCTTAAAAAGAAAAAAAAAAAAGGAGGCGAGTTTAATGACTGGCCTGTGTGAGTGAGAAGAAAACAGTCGTTTCATTAGCTCTTCTGAACCAGCCATGCTCTGAACAGAGCACATATCAGTGAGAGAGTAAAAGAACAAAGAAAAGCTTTGCAAGAAAGTGAAAGTACAAAGACATAAGTTAAGGAAATTTAACAAAGTTCTAATTGTACATGGAATTAAATAACAAGATACGATAATGCATGCACTAATCTGACTCTCTAAAGAGCATATGAGCAGAGGCCTAGAGAGCCGCTGGGCCAGCTATTTCAGTTTCCTGCTATGCATTACACATGCAGACATTACATACACTACATATACATTATACATATCTACATTACCAGACTTCTTACAAAAAGCTTGCCAAGTTCCAGCTCAAAATTACCTAGAAATGGAGCTAAAAGAATTCCTGTTGCTTGTGAACTTTCTCTTGCCACCAATCTCCAGCAAGAGATTTATTTTACATTTTATATTCACTTGCTTTTGCGATACTATTTACCAGCTTAAACTAATCTTCTGTCTTAGTCGCATCTTTCCCAGCTACTCAAGTCTTACTTCCTATGGCTTAGCACTGGCCCCAGCTGGCAGTTTCCAGTTTGCTAATCTCTAAAACTTCCAGTGAAACTGTGATCTCTTGTGTAGTTTACCCAAATCTATCGGCATGCTGCTAATTTAGTTCTCACAACTATTTAGAAGTTGTCTAAAGAATTCATAGTAGTTCATGGACTGAAAACCACCATCATGCATCTTCACCATACAGGGAACATATACCTTTACTCCAGTACTTCAAATGTTATGTGCCTATTTTGTTTGATTACCACTTAAAGTGGGCATAATCAGTGAGCTGGGCTCATAAGTTTGATAAGATATTATAAAGCATTTAAGCTGACTGCAGCATAACAGGCTATGTGAATAGCAATGACTATAGCATTTCAAAGACAATATCTGAAACTAATGTGCACTTTCTGTAACTGCTAATAGCATCACATTAGAAAGCTCTAGTACCTCAAGGTTAAATACTAACTTATACTAAACATCAGTATATTAATTCTTACCTCTATTTGTTCCAAGGTGTCTTGCAGTTTTGAATTCAACTCACTATTAATGAAAGAAAAAAAAAAGTTCAAAATCAAACTACTGATCATATTAACATTTCACACCAAGTTTCTTGTTTCCAAAAAACATATTTGCCTGCTACTGAGCCACAATATAGTAATTTATTATAAATCATGAACTTGCTGTTACCGCATCAGACTAGCACCAGCACACTACCGTTACTACTGAAAGGCACCTACTGCACGGATTTGCAGCATTCCTAACACTTCAGACTAAAATACCTGGTGCAGCAGCACATTATCCTAGGTTTACAATGCAACAGTGTTAAGAGGGCCCAGGCAAGACCCCACCCTGCTAGGATTTAGCCAAGCATTCAAAGACGTTCCCTACCTCCAAGAATCTCGTGCTCTGAACACTTTGATTTCACACTCTGGTCTACAGTAGAACATAATCAGAAAATCCAGGGCTATCAAACTAGGGTATAGTAACTTGTGGTTCAGGAGGGCCTTCCTGAAACACTGTAGCAAAAAAGAACTTCAGCTTACACAACTCTCAGAAACATCTTATTAAGACCGTCATTCCACTTCTCAGAGCTGTCTATGGTATAGAAAGGTTGAAGAAAATAGCTACCATAAGAGAAAGTATTTAGGACAAAGCAGGCACAACTGCCCCTTTCCAACAATCAGCTTTAAAAATTTCAGAACACCAGCCAGAAAAATATGACACAAAATGTGACTACTATGTTTCTGTTCGGAAGGGTCAAAGCAACGAAGGAATAGGCAGGACATTCTCTTCAGCATGGAAAGCACAGAGATTTCATGGGATAATTACCGTACCTGATTTTAGACAACTTACTTCTGCGCTCTGAATCTTCTCCTAAGGGGCTTGGGTTAACTACTCAAAAGACAGATTCTCGCTTTCCCACCTAGTTCTCTCCACTTAAATGCTGTGCCCATCACCCCTCCTTTTTTAGTTCTGTTAGATGACCGGAATACAACACCCTCCAAAGCAAGGTTTAAATAGAAAAAACTGTATGAGAAAGAGCTGGGATTAAACACTAAATTGAGCAGCCAGTATTTCTTTGTTGTTTCTCCACTTGCAACAAGCCTGCAAACAGAAAAGCCTCCACAACAATTTCATGTTCCTACATCTCCTGCTGGAGTTTATGAGCATTTCCCATTACTCAGTTCTCTTACCTAGCAAGAAGCCATTAGAACAAGAGTAAGAACCTTGCTCTGTGCACAGAATCACTTCTTCTTCCCATCTTTAGAACTAGGTGCAGCATAGACCATCACCCCCTGTATATATAGATACAGTTGGTTTACATGTTGAAATAAACTGGTCTAAAATATAGAAGCTGCTGACATTAGTAAAAAAATGATGCAATGCACAGGTAGTCTCTGCACAGACTGAACAAATTAAGCAATTGTACTGCTGTAAGTCCTGTGGAAATTCACAAAGCCCCTAATGGTAGCAAGTACCACAGAAACACAAGACCGTGATTCCTTTCAAACAAATGTCATGAACATGCTGCTGCTAACCTAGCATTTCTTTACCTTTTCTAATTAAATTAAAAACACACATGGATTTTTCCCCTCAGCCAGGCAACTTACATGCTCACACACATGAAGAACTTGCTCAAATAATACAATGTAGAGCTGAAAAACCTCCTGGGCTCCAGAAAACATTCCTTGATTATTGCAGGTGATCACATTTGACAAATTTTATCTATATACCAGCACAGATCTTCATGAAAACTAGTTCCTTGTTTCCACTACTCTTAATGCCAGGCAAGCACCAGCTTGCAATCACCTGGTGACACAGGAGGCTTGGGCAGCTCAGGAACCTCAGCCCTCATGTCACAATTCCCAGCAAATGCCCCAAGATCAGGGCCGTTCTGGAATGGTGTACGTTTCCTTTCTTTTGCAACAGGAGGATGGGGAGGAATTCTTCAAAAGATCTTGTTCCTCATGAAACATAACCAACGTAAAACTGCCACGTGTTTCTTACCCCTACCATTCAGTGCAACTCCTGTGACAGTGCTGTCCTCCCATTCAAGCAAGTGCTCAAGCACCAATTTTAAATACACACATTCATAGTTTATTTATTCAACCAAGCTATGCTATATGGAGGTGTCTGCAAGAATATAGCCTACATTTATACTGACTAATTTAGGAAAAGAAGGTGTGATCACAAAATTTAATATGAGAAGTAACTTTAACCAAGTATTGAAGTGAAAAATGTAGAAATGCAGTGTCCAGAATTTTCTAAGCCAGAATTTGAAAGGTAGTGCTTGGACATAATGCCTGCATAATTATTATGAAAGCCCATTTACCATAATTGAGAATTTAATTCAAGGCATTAATTTCATTCATAAAATACATATTAGAAGCCTTTTCTTTTTCATCCCCATCCATACAAATCTAAATTGGTGCATTTTTAGAAGGCACATTACTGCAGTATAACAGAAGTAACATTTCGACCCAAATGCAATAGACAGAGTCATCCTATTATCTGACATTACATTTTCCTATAGGTTTTTCAAGGGAAAATTCACATCAGAAGTGTTCAACAAGCAGAAGGTAAAAGACTTTGATTTATATTTTATAACAAAAATTAATCACATAATGCAAGCATTCTCTAGGAAGAAGACAAAGGAGAACAAAAATAATAAACAACCAGGCTATTATTTCAAAGGAGGATGACCAGCCACGTTCAAAACCAAGAAGTCTTAGCAGGGAAGCTGAAGTGCTTGCCTTTTCACATTATGTATACACCAAGATAAAAATATCATATGCTTCACTGCAAGGTTTACATCCCCTCTTGTTTACGAGCTACACCCAATTCCTACCACCATCTAGCAAGAAAAATGTGAAGAATGATTGTACAAAGGAAGGCATTGATTCTTGTCATGTGGACAGCTGACAATCAAAGGGATACTGTGAAAATTTCATGGTAACAGACAGAGGTGACACCTCATATAAGCACATTACAAATACTAGCACATCTGATTTCTTGACTAGCTGTTTTTTACTGCAGCACTAAACAGAAATGCAAAAGATCTATCTATTCATTTAGCCTAGTCCCTTGCTAGTGAGACGTTATTCCATACAACACACATTCTCTCAGACTTCTGCAAGTAAAACAGTGCAGAGAGATTGAAATGTATGCACTGGAGCTGGGATTTAGAGCTAAAATGTCCTTCTGGTCTCACAAGGCAAACAAAAAATTAAGCTCAAACAACTCTCTCGGAATAAAGCAGCAGTGCTCATTTTTTACTGTCACCATCCTTTCTTTCCAGAAACTGTCATTTTGGATGCAAGGATATCCTTTTGAGTGCAACGACAAAGTAAACCCTCACAGCTACTTGTCATGTACCTTGTCAGTATGCTATCAGATTTAAAATACTATGACTTTTGCAGTTAAATACTCCAAATGGCAAAAACGTGAACTGTCAGTTTAAATTCCAAATTTTGCTACACTGGACATAGTGTAGTGGAGATAAACTTTGAAGCTGGAATAAAAGCTTCAAGTGATTCAACGTTCAACAGAAACTTTCATATCTTTTACACAAAACAGAATTTAAGTTAAAGGAAACCACATAATTTAACCTAGATCTCAAAAGAGCAAGGTTTTCCAGACAAGCACTGTAAGATTCTAAGAAATCAAGCTGCCTTTTCAAGCTGAATAAATGTTGCTAATTTCTCCAAAAGCAAAAAATGCTGTGCAGAATAAATCAAATTCATGTTTGGAGCCACAGAGCATCTGAAAGAGCAACAAATACTAAGGAGAGCTTACTGAACAGTAGAGACAAGACACAGGTATGGAAGACTGCGAGACTCATCTCTATAGAAGGTAGGCTCAAGTAGAGCAAAAGTTATTCAGGAGCCATCTTGCTTCTCAACAACTAAATTGTCAAGGACTGAGGGAAATCACAGTCATTCTTCCTCATTCAAGTAAATAAAGAATAGTTTTCACTCACTACTATGTAAAGAAGGGATTCAAAATTTTAATATATGTAGGCAAATGTTGGCTGTACAGTCAATTTCTCCATGACAACATGAAGTTCTGCACTTGCTAATTTCACTGCCAAGAATTAGGGTAGGTTATCCTCCACAAGCCATCTTGCTGTAGAATATAAACTTGCTTATTAAAACACTAGCTCAGGTATCTCCAGGCTGCAGGCTGTAGCACAGCTATAATACAGTCTTACTTGAAACTTTACCTGCCAACATACTACAACAGTTACAAAACAACGACATAGTCCAAAAATAGATTATACAGTGTTACAATTGTGAAGACTGACTAGCAGTGGTACAGGTGTCGGGAAACTACTGAGGATGCTTATGCTTTTATAAATGCCTCAATTTTACTCTTCTGAGCAGAATATTAAATTTCAATTAAAGCTGCTCTAGAGAATGAGAATTAATGATCACTGTTTTATACCATTTACAAATAAAATCATACAGAAGTTGAAATATGCACAATGTCACCTCACCTTATACAACTGTAGTGTTTGAAAGTGCTGGCAGCCTTCTGGCACTCTAAGCACAGCTGAATAGCTCCTGGATAGTCCTCTTCCTTAGGAAAAAATATAATGGAAAAATAATTTGGCTTTTGAAGTAAACACTGCAACATCCATTTTTGCTTGCATGCTTACGTATAAACAAGAAAACCAAAATACTTTGCCTCTTACATCTATACAGTCAAGTTAAAGGAAATGAGTGAGGGTCCCTTGCAGAACTCCATGTGCAAGCAGTTTATAATTAGAAACAGTCCGCGTGTTAAGAACATCTGAAAGCACTGTGTACTATATTACCTTATGCAAATGACTTGAAGTTTTGTTTCCTTATGCATTCATACAAAACATACCAGAAAATTTTTATTACAAAACAACTAACATCTTCCCTGTTAACTTTTAAACCTTTGGTAACACAATATGATATATTCATGAGCAAGGAAAGAGTAAGTTCAAGCACTGGCCAGGCTGTTGCCATAGTTTACAAAACCTAAAAAGAGACAAGGGAGATACTCCAACATCATGCACAAATAAACACTATTTGACACATTCTATAGCTGAGTAGAAAATAATTTAAAGACAACCAGCTCACACAAGGCCCCAGGACAAACAGAACATGCTTAGAAAAAAAATGGAAATAACATCCTAATTTTTAAGAAGAATATCCAACAGGTAGTCTGATCAATCAGGAAGTACATGAGCATGCCAGGACAAAACCCAAATGAAAACATGCACACAGAAATGTAAATCCCCAAGATCTTGCCAACAGAACATAGGCAGTGCCTTGGGTATAACTGCTATTTTTGTATTCTATTAGACATGAGTCCAGAAAGGCTCTCGGAGGAAGGAAAGTCCTCTTTAATAACTAAGAGCTTCCCTTTTTTGTCCTAACTGCATCCATTACATTACGTGCTTCAGAGCGCTCAAATGCAAAGCTTATACTGGAATGTCAAAGTCATTGATTGAAGAGTAAAAACAGAAAGGCAATTCATATTCAGCTATTATGATAAAGGAGTTTCTGAAATGAAATTGGTTTTAACAGCAGCATTCTAATGCAGATCAAGTTTAGCTAAAATCACAAAAAACCACACACACATTATCCAGCACAGCACATTGGTCTAACATGATTACTGCGTTTACAGCTCTTTGCATCTTTCTCCATTGGAAACCTGGTACTTGCTCCATTAAGTCTAACAGAGCTCAAATCAGAAAGCCTGCTTGCATAACATATATTACTAATACCTTCTGGATGCAGCTCGCCACTGTAAGTTATCATAGCTTTGTGTCTGGTCTTTTTCTAATAGGGAACCCTATCTAAATGTTCCTGTGTGAATGGCTAATACCTCTCATGCATATTCCAAGCTACTAACTTCTTCTTGCAGTAAAGACAATAAATTGGTCAATACCTGGTTTAGAATTAGAAACTGCACTTAGCCAGAAAGGGCAGTTCCAGCCCATAACACTTTATCACTGGTAAATTATGATAATCAGACATTAGGGTCTGTGTGCGAATGCAACACCCACACTTCAGTCTTAAGAGAACTCCTACCAGTAGACAGCGAAGAGCTGACTTCCTATGCAACAAAATACAGCACAGAAATGAAAAGCCATCATTGTACAGGGCTTACCGAGCTGAAGGCAATTTTTATGCAGCCTGTACATTAATACGTTCACACTTTGTAAAGAATAAGACAGTGTGCTGAGACAAGGTGTATTACCCAAGTTGGAATTAAACTCCAAGAACCTTAAGAGCTATAATTATTAAGACTCAATTTCCAGATTTAGTAACTAGGAATTACCATAATAACATTCCATCCATTATTAGCTGTAAATATTTTGACTTGCTAGCTTGCCAAACTGTTACGCTACACAATTAAAACATAGTTGTCAATAAAATCTTGAAGCTGTTTTTCATACAGTCAATCACCTTAAAACAAGACCTTAATTTTGCTCTGTGCAGTATCTACCTTACTTTTAGGCAGTATATATACTGCATCAGTAGAATTTTCAGTGTCACGGCCTTCACGCAGCAATGTTTTCTACAACTGATTATTAAAAAGTCAACCCAATGAATAAGGAGAGAAGCTACTACACTTATAAATAAAATACTAAATAGGGAGCCCACATATAAATTTATACAGTAATACACCAGTAGAAGTACTTGATCCAGATCCAGCATATCAACAATCAGCTAAATCTCACCTTCTTTTTTCTTCCAAATACAAAGCTAAGGCCAGAAAAGAAGGGTAAGTTGAGGGTACAGAGGGAAGTGAAAACTCCACAGCACTCTTACTGAATTCAAGCCTCAATCTTGCTTTTAGATCTGGGCACTGAGTCTCTAACAGAAAATACTCCCCCTCAGCACAGGGGCTATCTAATTTGATATGAAGTTATTTCCCACAACTTTTAAAAGAGAAATAAATATACAATTTCACCACACACCCCCCCCCATAGCCTGTTTGCAAGAGCAAGGAAAGAAGGGACAAAATTCAGATGACTTACAAACGTAGACTTAGAATAGCTTCAAATTCTAATAGCGTAGCAGGGACTTACCTCCAACATCTCACTCAAACGCACATCAGTTCTTTGCTAATAAAAAAAGGAAAAAAAATCATAACTACACAGAAATGAAGAAAAATATTTTGCCATTGAACAAAAATAAATGTGCATACCAGTGTTTTTATTGTTCTCAGAGACTTTAGCAGTCCAATAAGCAACTGTCGTTTCCTTTGATTTGCAAGAAGCCCCAAACTAGTTTGTGTGAAGCCTTCCTTTGCTATATTCAGGTGTCTGCAAAAGTTAAAAATTAACATAATCTTTGAAGATATGTGAAATAAAACTTATTTCTAAGAAATTCTAACACATCCATCAAAACACACACTAGAAAATAAGATTGTCTGCATTCTTATGAAAACCCAGAAACTGAGATGATACCAAAAACTACTAAGAAGGAACATCTTCCCTTCTGCAGAACTTGTCTGTGGATCAATGGTGTATCTCAACAGGTTCCTGTTTTAATGAAAACTCCCAACTGAAAAACTGAGAGCTGCAAGAGAGAAAGCAGCTGGTATCTGTTTCAGTATTTCTTTAACTACTATTGCTAATTCCATTCAGCACATAAACAGGGAATACCATCAGCAAGCAAAATTCCCGGGTTTACAGATTTCTTCTTAAATACTTTTTCCCCCCTTTCAACCTCTGCCATTAGTTAAGCAAGATACCTTCTTCCATTTGTGCAAATAACAGCTGCTAACTGAAGGCCAGTCTGCAATGATGTAACACGTTCAAGTTCCTACAGAGAGACAACAGGCTGATTAAGTATACAAGTTAAACTGGTGCTACACACCAATGAAGACTAGTGATTAGTAGGAGTAGGTTTCTCTTGAGATGTTATAATGACTTCGTAAAGTTATTTTATATGTTATTTATTTCATCATTTTATATATGCTGAGCACTGGAATGTAACATTAATACAAACTATCTTTTAAAATACAGTTCTCTTTTGAAGAAGAATGAGCAAAGCTTCAGGGACAGAAGCCCAGGGTTTAAATTTACATTAATATGCCAGAGAGCAGCAAAACAAAACAAAAAAATCACATTTCACACAGCATTTTCTTGTTCAGAAGCACTTGTATTCTACCTGTTTAATAGATGACACTTCATAATGAATGTTAATTGTATCCTGTTAAATTTCAGCTGAAAACTCTTCAGCACAGGTGACCTGAATTTAGCTTGATTTTGACTTCATGAAGTACCTAGCATAATCTCAACTCCTCTAAAAAAATAAACCTGTTAGGATTTCTTTTGTTAGGAGCAGCACTGTAGAAAAGTGAATGCTCTCCCTGCGCTAAAGAAAAAAAAAAACCTTTTTTTTTCTTAAATACTTCTCATTTTTTCAAAACATATCAAGTGCTTTCCATGGGGAGAAGGGAGACTTTCACTTTGAAAACTAATCTAATTTTAAAGATATGACAAGCAAAAAAGTTTAAAGTTTAGTTTGGTTTAAGATCAGCTCCTGGTCAGTCTCCAAAGATACAAGCAATTCTGACAAATCACTGAGCTGCATCTTTCACCATAAAAAGTTCCTCCTTCATGTTACCAATTTTGCTTTTGGAAAAATGGCAGCTTAGTTGCTGACATGCATAATATCTTAAGAAACCAAATGCAAAGATTCCTCTCCTCAGTACCTACTTCCCACTAAAAACATACTTTGCAAATGTAAAAGCTATTCAAAATGCCACTGTTCTCTCCCTCATGAGGAAATGCGTACAATAAGGAGCGACTCCATTCCAGTCTTGCCTCTTGCAAAGATTCTGTAAAACCTCTCCTTTGAACATGACTGGGTGGAGAGGCATGGGGAGAGAGTGCAGCCTAACAGTCCCCAGAGAGGGAGTCTTCCGCCCAGCATTTAGGGCTGAATAAATTTTTTTCTGTTCTCAAAGACAATATTCCACCCATTGGTTGTTCCTAATGCACGCTTTTACTTCTAAGGTGAAGGGAAAACTATAAATCCCTTGCCTTGTGTCTGTGCCATGCCTCTCTCAGCCCATAGTAGCGCCTGTTAGATCAGCACTTCCCAGTAGGAATGGGTTGCAAACCATGACTTCCCCACGCTTTCCTTTGCACGGTGGAAACAAGGTGTCCAGGAGACAGTCTCAGCTGCATTTTTGCTTCTTCTAATGACCTGTTACTTTAGCAGCACACTGAACTGGAGCTGCCATTAGAAAGTACCCATCGCACACCAGGAGCTTCATTTCACGAGACAGGGGGAAAGTCAGTCCTGTGATGCCCACCAGAAATCTCCGACAAGTACATCTACTGACTTGAATAACTCTGTGCAAGCCTCTGTCCGCAAGTAGCACTGAAGGATTATCGACTTCATCAGGCAAATACGCATTTGACAAATGTTTTTAAAAGATTCTTACTGGCACAATGGATTTTTAACTGTCCCTTTGGAGCATCTGAAAGAACTTCTTGGTATAAAACACGTGCACCTCACTAAGATGTTGCTGGGATAAGAATATTAACATAACACAGCAAAACGCAAGAAGCACATTCTCCACTACTGTTATGCACTGAGAGGAGGTTTTTGAAGTGAAGCCGCTGGATTCGGAAAAAGCAGCACTCGCTAAACAACATCAGTTCGGAACATGCACAACAGCAAAACTATACCAGAAGGACTTGATACCACACAATTAATTACCCTTTCTGTCCCCCGTACACTCTGTTATGAAGACTTGACTGCTGTAGCACTTACCCAGCCTCCTTCTGCAATAGCCTCCCACCCGACTCATTTAACTAAAACTGAAATAGTATTACCCTTACAGCTTTTTTCTTCCACCAGCTATTGCAGGAGATGACAGAAGCAACGCTCACGCCCTGCAGTTTTTCTTTAAACAGCAGCACTCCTCTTTCTATGTGGCAAAATGTCAGAGCACAGATGGGACACTCGGGAGGCCACTAAGGCTGCATGCACGAGCCACGACTGCAAGCTAGCAGAAGAGGAAGAGCAGAAGAGAAATATCCTCTGGATGAAAGAGGAAAATAATTCCAGCTTCATGACACCTCACGAAAAAAAAACCCAGAAGAGACCTCCACCATCAAATGCAGCCATCATTTCCCTCCCACACTCTCTCCAGCTTCTTGACCAAAGTAAGGATTGCCATAATCACTGGTATGCCAATGCTTACACAAGGTGCTGTACACATGCAGAATTATCCATCACAGGATAATTCTCAGACTACTTTGATAAGTTTCCACTTTGCAGAGTTGTCACTGTCGTTTCCTGGAAAGATCAGACAACATCAGGGAGAGCTGACCAAATGTATAGGTGCATCATTAAAAATCAATGGGTAGAAAAAAAACACCTTCTCTTTATAGAACCATTATGACAGCTGTTCCAATTACATTCTGGGATCAAGGAGAGAAGACGTGCCAATATTCTACTGCAAGCAGCTAAAGCAGTTTTGGTTTATTTTGCTCTCACAGATCTTTGACGTGTTGAGGTACTATTTCCAGCTCAGTCTTCTCTTAGATGCCACCTTCTCACGACTGCCTGAGATTAGCAGCAGGTTTCTGGTTAAGTGCTCTTAAGAAAGACCATTGCTGTTCTCTCTTAGGGAAAAAGATCTGAAACCACTCCTAAACACAGACGCAGCCTGTTCAAGTCCATTACAGGTATCAGCCAAGCCTGTGAATTCATGTTTTCAGAAAGTCTGCTTGAAAGTCATATGCTGAAGCCTTTATCATCCTAAAGTCTCCAGCTCAGTACGCTCTTGGTTCTTTTCACTCTGCAGATTCAGGTTTAGCATACACAGACTGCTAGTTGCAACCAGACACTAGCATCTCTACTAACAAATGACTAGATTTAATCCCCAGTGAAACAAGTGCAGCATTATAACAGCACAAAATGGAGTTGTCTTACCTGAACATATGCAGGCTGTTTTTCAAGAATCAAGTCTGCAACTTTCTTAGATACCTTAAAAGAAGAATATTACATGTGATACACAGAAATCTCAGTAAGTAGGCCATCCCTATACTAAAGTTCACAATAAATTTGGGATTCTGTATCACTTAGTTCCCTAGTTTTCAAATTTATTAATAAATATGCCACAACAAGGTAAAAAAATCCCAAAAATTACAATCAGCATTCCTTAGCAGCAAGATAAGAAAAATGTCTACAGGTCCATCTAGGAATTAGTGGGCTTTTTTAAATTAATCCCTTGTCTCTCTGCTTGTTAAGGAACACGCTAGAACAGAAAATGGAAATAATATGGGACACTGCATGTATTTACATTCTGCTTATGCTACTGATAGAGTACAAATTTCAGTTAACCATCTACCATGGAGATCTAAAAAAGCCTTAAGGACACCTACCCTTCAGACTGATATTGTATTACATAAAATCCATGTCAATACGAATATTGACCCTGTGCACATTATACCCTTTCTCTAGCACACAACACACATATTTTGAAATTTTCTCTATTGTTCTGAGCTAACAGTAAGTGGAATGCTACTGAGAGCTGCTGTCTGTGCTGAAGTTAAAAATGGGCATTGCTACCTTGATCAGTCTCTTGCATGAAAACACATAAGCTCAAAAAAAAAAAAAAATCTAACCCTAACAGTCATATAAAGCAAGCCTGAGAACAGCGTGTTCTGTTTTGGTTTTCAGCAGGGACTACAAATATTTAAGAATCGGTTTCAAACACGACAAAGACATTATTGGTATCACTCCATATTCTTCCTGGGGAATAATACTCCCTGAAATGAAAATAAAATAAAACTGGCTATGACAGTCAGCCAGCCCCACAATGCACTACTGGCAATGAGAGATGAAGAGATTTTCATATATTTCACTGCTTAGCCAAACACAGCACGAAGTTGAGATCTTCATTCAGCATTCCTGTAACAAATTCACAGTGGTTCCACCAGGTCATTTCCCACCCTCTGGAAGAGCACCTGCACACAGATGGTCTTCAAAGTACTCCAATATCATCAGCGGGCAATCTGGACAAGGGGCACATATCACATATCTAGCTGTGCTTTCCTCCTTCTGTCTTACAAAATGGCCGAAACCACAAAACGATTTTAAAACTTCTTGGTTGTTGTATAAATAATAAAGCCTTCTTCTGCAGGACAGCAAAAGAACCACTCCAGAGCAGGGGCAGGGCAGGAAAGGATGTTATCTGGCCAAACGCTACACAAGCCTACATGACCTAGAGGCTTTAAAGAAGTTTTGTTCACCCCACAGTCTATATCCTATGAGATTTTCATCTCCCTTTTCCAGTCTATTCTTCCCGCTAGCCCTGTGCCTTGAAAAACATTAGGACAGGGAAATATTTGCTAGTCACGCATCCTCCTAGTAAAAATCTGACTGTCTGATTCCTCACTGTTAAAGGGATTCATCAAGCAGTACACACGAACAAAAGATAGATTTCATTTTCAGTTGTAACACCGCTTATTTTGGTTTGCAAGTTCTCAGTTACCCTTGACTAATAACAACCGCAACACTGTCAAGCACCTGCTACGGCCATTTTTTTGTTTCTTTCTTTCTTTCCCCGAACTTAGTGATACTACTTTTCTGAGCTTCCAAGCTATTCTCTTTCCTTTCTTTTGGATGAGCAATACTATCCAGGTTACTTCCACTTATTTCCAAATTGTCCCATCTCTTTTTGGCATCTTCCGTACAACTGTGTTGATTTACGTTTTAATTCTTACTTTTGGAATCCAGAATTCCAATTGCTAGCAATTAATGTGGCTGCAGTTATCAATGCATGCAAACAACAATGTTCTTTGAGGGGACCAAACAATTTTTTCCAAAACAATTTTCTATTTCCTAATCACATCAGGAAAAAATATTTCATCTCCTGACGGAAAAAAGATACAGCTGAGGATATCAGTCTACTAATTAAAACGAAGCCAAACAGAAGTACAATTAGAAAGCCTCCTAACTCCAATTGTCTGTACCAAGATGATTAGACAAATCAAAGCTGTCACGATACATATATTAAAGAAGTCTTCAGTGAGTTGGAATCCATCTAATGGGATGGAACACTGTAACGGGTAAACTACAGAAAATACGGAGCCTACAGTGACCGCAAAAGTAAAGGCATGACCAAGATCAGCTGTGCAGAAGCAGATGGTAACAGTCAGTGAGAAGTGGAAGATTAGAGCTCTGTCACCTATAATTCACACTCCTTTGAGCTCCTTGTGTTACAGAAACTTAGCTGGAATTATCTCTAAACCACTACTGTAAATTCCTGTGTCAGCTATAGACACAGACACTGAAGTGAAAATGCAGCATTTATTCTTTTTCAAAAGCAGCGATACAGTGTGATCTGTCAGCAGACTTCCTGAGTCCTCCACCTAATAATCTATTCACAATCAGCATTAGAATATTTTTAGGACTGAACTAACATTCTGCAGTACTGTCTTCCATGAAGGATGCTAATGTCTGCTAAAACACAGAGCAATCTAAATGACATATCACAAGATAAATGGACAATAACTGAGACAGGAGAAGAAAACACGCAAGTCTCTCACGCTCCACCTGGAAATATGACACAAGGACATAATATATAGCATACAGGAAATTTTGGCAACTTGGCACCTGCCCAAACCCAAGCAACAATTCCTTCCTAGGGCAGAATCACATTTAGACCAGATTAAGGAAGATACAAGAAAGGCCCAACTCTGCCTGGAGGGGATGATGGGGGAAGAATTGGACACGTTTCTTGTCAAAAGTTTTGGCTTTGGTAGGTTTTGTCTGTTTGTTTTGCTTTTTTTCCCTAAAAGAAAGACACAACTGGACCATATTTCCTGGAAACTGTGCTCAGTTGTCACTCCTATTGTTCATTAGCTGCATGCTCTTTCCAGTTCACAGGTTTCAGCAGCAGCTGTGCACAGAAACTACTCCCCTAGCTGGAGCCAGTTCCCATCGTGCAAGCAGAATGGCCAAGACACTGACAACAGGTATTAGGATTATCCAGCACATCTCAGCGAAGTTGTCTCAGGCTTGAGTGCACTTCCTTGCAAAAAGAGGTCACCACTAGAAGTCCTCTTAAACTTTAAAAAAAAAAAACAACACAAAACCAAAAACCACCACCCACTTTCAACTCCCTTCCTTCTACCTCTTGGTGAGAAACAGGGAATATTCATTCGCTCAACTTCTCACTAATACGTTACACAATTTCATATGTTTATTCTGGGAAAAGCAATCTTAGGCAGAAGGAACCTCTTCTCTATGTATTGTTAATGATCCAATATTCTCGTTCTGTACATTTCATTCATTTAAAGACATGAATTAGGATTATTACTATTATTTTACTGGCAGATACTCTCCAAATGCCACAGCTAATACATCCATTTCCTGTACCATATTATTCATCTTTAAAAGAGCAATGAATCAGTAATTAAGGTATGAATAGAAAATTTAAAAAGCCTGAAATGTAACAAGTACCTTTCAGCAGCTGCAACTCTGATTTTCCCCCGTAAATTATAGTTATTACTCATTGTTACATTTCATTTGGTTTATTACGTAACAACTCTGTACAAGTATTCACTAGAAACCCTTGTGGACGATCAGCAAAATGGCAAATGAAAAATAAGAGAAAATAGCAACTCTTATGAAAGAGTTTTAACACATGTTTTACGCTGCCAGGAATCCCTCAAAATACTACACTATTCAGTGCTGTGTTGAACCTTACTTTTCTTGCAATACATAGGAAAAGCTGAACATTCAGAAAATCAAGCTTCTAAAGAAACAGCACATTTGCTTCTTATTACAATACATATCACCAAGATTTACGTCCATAATGTCATATGATTACATGATTTACTGATACAATTTTCAACGATAAAAGCACACAATATTAAAAGAAAAAAATGCTTAATATCTAATGTGTTTAAGAAATCAAAACCTTTTCAGTTACACTTCTTGCTATACTTTTAGACAATACAACAAATTGCCTGAGGGTTCAGAGGAAACAACTTCACTTACAGCAGCCTGCTGTTGTTTTAATTTGTCTCTGTACTCTTCCAGTTCTTGAAGACTAAGTACTGGAGGAAGCCTCTGCATGTAAACAACAAATTCAATTCAGTGAGAAACTGAAGGACATTAAATACACATGCAGTAGTAACTAATCAATCAATTCCATTAAAGAAACAGTCTTATTGCTTCTGCAATCTAATTTGCAGGGTTAATCCATTATTTCAAATGATGGATACTGAAATAAATCAGTGTTAAGACAAACAATATATTAATATAATTACATCATATTCACCTTACTTTAAGCCATATATGTATACACACAACTCCCTTAACCATTCAAATTATTATGTCTCAGTCAGTTTGCTAAAAAAACACCCAAAATACAGAACAGACTTTTTTTTCTCCCCTCCAACTATTTTGGCTTTTTCATGGTAGTTTACATTATGAAGTGCCTGTTAGCACAACTGATATTAATTCTACCACATTAGAAACAGAGAGTCCATAGAAATACTATATGCTAGAAGCTCCACACAACCACAAGATGAGGCGGGAGAGTACAGCACTGCATTAATGCAAGATATAAGAAACAAAATGAAAAACAGCTCACTGAAACAAGCATACTTTTGACCCTCTTTTTTTTGTTATCTTACTATGTCTTCTTTTAAGAAGACAACTTACCTCTAACTCATACTTTACAATATCAAAGGAATCATTAGAAAAATAAACTTCCTCAATGCTGTTAATTATTTCTTGCTGAGCTTGAGGATCAGTTGGTTCTTCACATACTTCTCTGAGGTCCTCCTTCACAAAACAAAAAAGAATTTCCATGATGTAATATCACATCCTAACAAGAACAATGTTTTACCAAAACAAATACTTTCCAAAAGCCATTTACAACATTAGTACCACAAGCAATGACAAAGAACAGAAAGATCAGTACACTGCAGCTTGTTCTTCCCATTACAAATGGCTAGATATTTAAGATTTTTCAAAGAACATAGTGCAGACTTCAGTGTTGCAGATCACTTAAACACTCCTTCACCAATATATTTATGGCACAAATGCATGTTGACGCCACTGTTTTCTTTCCTCTCACAGTTTAGAAATTCTCATAATAAACTAAATTGGAAGTCTATTTCTTCAAAAGCTAAAAAAACCCCACAAAAATGTAAGAAATAAAATATGAATTTTTAAAACCAGATGAACCATCTTTCTAAATAATCCAACAATCAACATAAATGATCCCAAAAAAAGGATCATTTGCTCGATATTGGAATTTAACCCTGGTGAAGCTCTCCAAGGGACTGAAGTGTCCCATGAAGATCCCAAGCCTGCCAACAACACCGAGTTGTTACAGTGGGTCAAGGTACCGGTATTCTCATCACCAAGAACTCATGGGCTTATTTCACCGGCTAGAGGCATCAAATTTTAGATTAACTGACTAAACAACCACTAACATCTTTATTTTGTACATCAACTGAAATAAGGTCAGTGCGTAACATGTGAAATAAAAAGCACAGTGTTGTTTCTCTGTGCAGTTAGAGACAGCCAAGGAATGGCGAGTTTGGGAGAGCATCACAAGGTGTCGCTGTGCCTCTAAAATACCTTTTGCAAAAAAAACAAAGCAAGCAAAAAAGAAAGCAAGCAAAAAAAGAATTTTAAAAAAAGCAAAAAAAGAAAGAATAAAAGAAAGAAAGAAAGAAAAACAAAATAAAAAAGAAAGAAAAAAAGGAAAAAAAAAATGAAAGGACAAAAACGGGGAGGGGGGGCCAAAAGCAATGGCTCCGATGCAGAGAAAACCGGATTTCGATCGGTCCTCGCGCTCCCGAGCGGCGGGAACCCCTCGGCGCCAGGAGCGGGCACGACCGAGGCCAAGGCAGCAAAAAAGCTCTTCCTCTCCCGGGAGGCCCCAGGCGGCTCGCATCTCCGCAGAGGGGCCGTGAGAAAACGCCCGATTCGGTCACCAGCGCTTCCCGGCGTGACGTGACGGAGAAAGCCGCCTCGCACCACGGGGCGAATGCGGCAACCCACCTTCCAACCACACACGCACCCGGCAGGAGGCCGTGCGAGGGAAGGCACGGACGAAGGGAGCGCACCAACAGACGTGAGAGAAATAAGGGAATAATACACACAGATAACAATATCACAACAATAAATAACAACAGCAAAGCAAACTGATGCTATTCTTCAGACAAACTCTTACAGATGGGTGTTGAGCAAGGTCCCGCTCTTGGCGAGCGCACGGCCACGACGCCACAGGCCACACCAGCACCTCGCTCAGGCAAAGGCAAAATGGCAAAAAAAAAAGGCAAAAAGGCAAAATAAAAGGCAAAAAGGCAAAAAAAAAAGGCAAAAAAAGGCCAAAAAAAAGGCAAAAAAAGGCAAAAAGGCTAAGGCTAAGGCTGGCCTGGCTACGTGGCCCTGGCAGCCGACCGTACTGACACGAGAAGTTTGCCGGGAGCCGGCAGGGAAGAGCCGGTGGCAGCACACCAGCACTGAAGAGCTGGGCAGAGCCCCGTGCCCAGCCCTCCCTGCAGCTCCAGCCACACAATTCACCGGGCGGTGACATCGCTCCACCTCACACTTCAGCTTTACCAGGAGCGCGAGAAATGGAGGAGAGTAGGGCAAGTTATGAGGGATGAAAATGAAAAGATTCTCAAAAAATAGCCCATTGTTCAACTTCTTAATCCATGGTTTTGAAGTTTCCATCACATGAGGGTGCATGGATTGGCAGAGGGCGCGCACATTCAGATTCAATGGCATACTGCTCTTGCAATAATTTAATTTATAAAGCAATTAATCTATTATCTATTATTCCTGTCCTTTAAAACAAACAAACAAAAAATTATTTTCCTCTGGACTCCCTAACAAATGGCAGCTTTCTGCTGTACATCCCCCTATAAATTAGCTTAACATCTTACAGTACTTTGAGATTTAACTATATGAAACTAAAATTAAAAATTATCCAAAACAGCCAACAGGATCAGCTTAATTTGTCCACTGAACCACTGCAAATGGAACCATCTAATTTATCATCTGATGTTTGGCTACAAGTTCCTGCACGGTTGTTTGTTAAAAGAAAAAAAAAAAAGAAAAACTAAACTCAACAAGAAATCTTTAGGATCATTTGAATTTCTAGACTATTGATATCTTGTCAAATTGGTGACATGTCAATGCCATAGGTCATAGTGATTGACATCCCCTGAAGATGTATTAAGAAAGCCATCGTGGACACATATTCTGGATTTAGAGCCATGTGATAATAAATCATTAGAGTTGTTTTTAATATTAGCATTTCAATGAAACCTCATCAATGACCTTTGTGTCTTTGTAAAAGACCAGGGTTCTCAGTACTAAAATGAAGCTGATGTTGATGTGGCTAGGAAAATTACTAAGAAACCATTTTATCCTGTCTCAGAAAGATCGCTCATCTCAGTGCTTCTTGCCAAAGCACTACCTAGGAAAATATTTATTTAATGGACAGAGTTTATCTTGTACATTCTTTCTAGAAAAGCAGTCTAGTGAGAACAACTCTGCAGGATAAACTTAAGCTCCGATACCAATTACACTGTCTGCCACCACACTTTATGCCATGATAAACTGCAGCTTCCAGTCCATCACACATCACTAGTTTCAAATAACTAACATGCTCAAGGCCAGTCTATTCATTCACCACCGAAGGAAGCAAGCGTCCTTGGCTAAAGTTTATTTGCTGATATTCGATTTTCCTCATCCCTTCACTTGGAGATACAAAAAAATTTTATTATATATATTGTATTATTATATATAAATACGAAGCCCATAGTTTCAGGGGCCTCAGGGAAGGCCAGATGTAGCACCATGGAGCTTGTACTCACACACTTTGCAGAGGCAGAGAGAGAAGTTCTATTAAATCCCTCAAAGCACTTCCCCACATCAAAACTTTTCTAGCTATTGCCACTTAAATATGTGCCTTTAAAAAAAAAAAGTCAAAATTAAAATTCACTTGTCAGTAAATTTTATGTACATTCAGCAATTCCAAGTGCTCTTCTGAACAGAAAAACCTATAAAAAATTGGGACGGAGAGAATCATATGATGATAATCATGCAGCAAACTTCACCGTTGCTAAACTGAATCAGTTAGATACACAGCAGACCAGGAAGAGCAGCACATTGGCAAGGTGGACCCCATCATATTCACTTCAATCCACCTATCCAGGTTAGTACACACGTTCAGCAGCAGTAACTCTGCAAGCAATACTGGGCCAACACAGCCATCTACAATGCTGTTTCATGGGCTACTCATTTTTCCGAAAGTTTGTGCAGCGAGAAACTTCACCTCCTGCATAAAACTTCCATCACCTGTAGTGCCAAATGTGCAAATTTTTTTTGCCAGTCCTTTGGATCATACTTTCACAGAAAGACAATTTATCCTGTCAAACATACTTCCTTTCAGGTTACGATTAGTGCAGCCCTAAGCAGCAGGTCTCTTTCCTAGTGCCACCTAAATAGGTCAGTGAAAGACAGCTTACAGGGAGAGAAAGAAAAAAAAGAAAAAAAAAAGCCAAAAACAAACTCTATCTGTCTGACAGCTTTGCATCCTTGCAGAAGCCAATGCTACATAAAACACAGTGTTTGCATTCACACACTTCTCACATCATGTTGCCTTCCTGTTCTATGGAAATAGAAGTTTACAGGTCCAGAAGCCTGCAGGCAATTCCTTGAAATAAATTTCAGACAAGTCATTTCATTGCAGACTCATGTGAAATGCAGTTCAGCAAGTTTTAGATGACTTATCCAGCTATTTCCCAGTGCGTCACACTCCCACTCTCCTTGTACTCTACACTGCCTGTAACACCACAACCAATACTGCTCAGTTGAACTACGCATTACCGGTAGAGAGTTGCAACCACCTTCTGCATTCCAGTCACTACCAACCGAAAGACTTGGGAAGTGAAGACGTTGAAAGAAGTTAACTGATACTGCTCAGTAACTCAGTTAAAAATAAATTTTAAGTTTCCAACCTAATTAGAAGCTGAAGGTCAGTAATAGCCTATGCACCTCTACAGAAAGAGAGCCGGGGCCAAGCCAGCGCGAAATTCATTTGGACACAGCCTCCCTCTCTTGGTCATGAGCCAAAAACACACCAACGAACATGCTGTCAGTTTGCATCCCTCTATTCTGAATTTGGCTAACACCTATATTAAAAGCTAATCCTAAACACCAGGATGAGGGCCCTGCTCAACAGATTCAATCAGCAGGTACACTGCAACATCCTACCACCATGAAATAATGTTACAAGTATTTCTTCCATATATACATACACAATCTTTTAATTTTATCTATATAAAAAGGTATATTTAGATTTTATTTATGTTTCATAAATAACTGTATCTATAAACTTCCCTCAAAACGTTTTTTTTTTCCACCCCCACTAATCCACAGCTAGGGAAGGCAGTCCCACAGGGAAGCCTGTGGTATTTTCCAGAACCTTCTTTCAATCTTTCCTTCTTCAGTATGTATATAGAGTACTTATTAAAAAGCCCTCACTCTACCGAAACAAACATTACACTGTGAAAACAATTCTCCTCACAAAGGGAACAACAACGCCTGATCCATAGAACAGCTATTTAGTCACACCACCGTTTAACGCACTCCTGAAAAGCACTCAGCTACTGTCGGGGAAACAGAAACCCACACAGACTAAGCAAGCCACACTTCTGTATCTATAGGAAAAGCATTAAAAAAAATAAACTTTGTGTTGATTACCACCATAAGCCACAAAGTCTACTACTATTTCTATACTGCATGTAAGCTGCTATCATCAAGATAAACATAATCTCATTCAAAGTCAACTCATTATTAACCACACACACTTGAATTCAAGTGCACAAAATGCCTATCTCACCCTTTTGTTCCAAAATCTACTAAACAAAACTGTTATCAGCTTGGGAAACAACAAAGCTGACAATAACAGAATGGTTCAAAAAGAATTACAGTTCCCCAGGGTGATCATGGCACATAGATTAAGTATCTCAATCAAAAAGCATATGAAATCCCTCTGCAGACAACTTTCTCTTCTAGAAATCCTGCCTTGCAGTTCAGATTTGCCTTATCTATAGACTGTATCATAGACTTCAACTATTATACACTTCTTCCTCTGTGTGACCGAGTTGGTGGTATGAGGCTGGCTCTGCAGCATTCCATTCTGTGTACCTCTCTGTAGCTTTAACTCAGCTTTTGAAACTCAGTAACACTCGCCCTAAATCAATTTGGAGATACCACTTTGAATGTGGAAGGGTGATGATGAAAGCCCAGCATCGTAACCATTCTATCATTAGAACATTATTTGGCTAGTGAGCTTGAGACTTTTGTTATTCAAGATATAAACAAAAATAGTTATTAAAATGTGGCAGCATAGAGCAACATACACTTTCAAATAGCAGCCTGCAACACTATAAAGTTACACTTTTACTCATTGTCTTTAAAAACCTGCACCATTTCTTTAGTCTTTACTTTTGCATTCAGAAGCGAATTCCTTTTACCAAACTTGTCCATTATTGCACAATAATTATTGAAGGGCATTAGCTTATATCTAGCAAAGCTGCTTGATCCCATAATTATAATGTAATTCTGATTTGTGACATGAGTATGTTGCCATGGCATTGAATATAGCCTCAATTGAAAACAAATACTAACATCCAAAGGCTCAATGACTTTCAGCTTCTGTGCCGTACTGAAACCTAACCTCCTTGATGGTTCTCATACCACAAACACAGACAATATCTCCCCCTCCCCATCCCAAAAATCTCCTGTGTTCAAGAAACGGTATCTGAGCCTATGCTCACAGTGACAGGAGACACGTTACAGTGCCTCATTCAATGTCTCATCATTTGAAAAGTAAAATCTTACAATAAAGGTTTCAGTGAAGTTAAGGAGGTATGACACCATAAATCCTTCCTCCAAAAAAAAGGGATGGAAGTAAAGTTACAATGACAAATGGCTTGGGACTGTAGCCAGGAGTTAAAGTGATCAAAACACAGTAATTTTACTGAAGATTCTTGTGATCTACTGTTTTCGTTTAATCACAGTCATGCAACTTTATAAGAGTTTCACGCAATACAGCTTGTTGAGAAGGAAAATGTTTATGTAAGCAACTTGAAATTTTGAGAACTACCCACCCAAAACATCTTGGAAGGAAAAAAAAAACCATATTAGAAGACTGAAAAATACAAAAGTCTTATTCTGTGGCATAGAAGACGACAATACTCTAATTTTATCAGCTTTACAAAAAAATAATCAGGTGACAAGTTCTAACATTGATGCAATCCCATCTTCTCAGGCACAGAATTCAAAACTACAATGAGATCTGTTTGCAGAACAGTTGCAGATAATGTTTTCACATTACAAATGTTTGACATAAATGTATGAAAAATTAGTTATTTGTTTTCTCATTGTTATTGATACAAGGTGTAGGCTTACCAGACATATAACATCTAACTGCTATAGAATGGAAATCCAGCCAAGATACCCTACATCTACTTTTATCTGGATAGTCAATTTAGCAAAAAAGACAGTTTGAAACTGGATGCTCAGTGGGTGGCAGGAATCTGTAATTTTGAAATCTAAGCCATGGAGATGAGACAGTTCTTTCAACATCGCTGCAACCGAATGCTTTCGCTCTTTGAAATCAATATATTGGACACTGTTTAACAGAGTATTATGTACCAATTCAGAGACTGTTACTTGATTTTTTAAATATACAGCAATGCTGATTTTCTGGTCTGCCTCAGAACAAGCAACATACTACACAGTACCTATATACAGACAAAGAAACACAAGAGAGGTTTTGTTTTGTTTTTTTGAACTATTGTAAAATAAGGCATCCAAATTCAAGTCGGTAACTTAAATATCTCATTGGTTAAAGGCAAAGTCCAAATTTGGAGAAAAATAATAAAAAACATCCACATCAAGTCTTGTGAATCATCCACTCAGATTAACAGGGTATAAGGAGCAATCAAATACTGTGACAATTGTTCCCTCACACCCAGATTATTCATCATGATTTGTGAGACAAGAGTGAGCTGGTATCATTTAAGTAGTGAGACCCCAAAAAAAAGGCAAAAAACTATTATTATTATAAAGCTGTAACATTTAAAGTAGAACATGAAGTTAATTATATATGCTGAAGATTAAAACCATGAAACTACAAAATATACTTACGGCACCTAAACTATGAAGAGTCTAAACATCAAGACTAGAACTATGCACGCTACCCATACAGCATCTACTTTCCAAAGTAAAACAAAAAAAGGCACTTTTTCTTTCTTTTTTTTTTTCTTCATTCCAGCAGGAAACGTAGATAATATTACCATCAGCATCCAGTGACAACTCAAAAGTTCTGAGAAAGAAATTTTAACACAAGTTCATTCTGAGTCGGTGAACAGTTTTGCCTCACAGCTCTTAATTCTTTCATAAAAAAATATTTTAAAGAATTTCAGCATGAAATAAAACTGTCAAAAAGAACAACAGCAAACCTGGTGTTAAAAAAAGAAAAAAGAAACAACTAAGTGTCATCTAACTATAAAACCAAAAACTAAAAATGAAGGGGGTGGGAGTGGAGGGACTGGGTATCATACCTTACTAGGAATCCGAAAGCTTTCAATAGGACTGAGGTCATGAACACTCTCCTGAGGACTTCTTAGACCCTTTAAAAGAATTTTAATAGTCAGTTAAGACGGATTACTTCATGTATCTCACAATTAAACTGCACAAGTTTTACCAGGTGTTGAATATATACCTACAAGTCCTTTAAGAAATTACACTAACACGAGGCTGGAAGGCTAAGACTTTATTCTAAAAACATTTAAGCAAGACCATTAGTGTATAAATTATGCTCCTCAAACATGTAAGCATTTCCAACTTTATGCTACAATATGTACCTTTTCAATACAGTTCACCAACATTCCCCTCATAAAAATCACTTATATCCTCTTCTCGACTTCCAGATGTTAAGTCTAAAAATGCACGTGTCCAAAAAACATAACATACTTTGTTCCACTAACTTACTGGTTTAAAGGAATCAAATAATCGAATTCAAGTTAAGTGCCACCTATTCCGCAGCAAAATTATATTATTTTTGCTTGATGCCATATTTATCTATTTACGATATAACACTATTAGGACTGGTTTCCTTATGCATAACTAAACTGAAAAAGATCCTTAATCCACATTAGTTGCTTTATATAATTATTACTCTTTAGAACACATATAGCCACATAAATAGAATATGCTCTAGTAGACTGGAGCTTTGTACGGGAAGCATCAATTAACTGGCTGAGAATGTATTTGCTGAATATCCAACACATTCACAATCTTATGAAACAATACCACACAACATGCTGCTTAGAGCGTTTTCTGCCAGATTCCTAAGCAGAGGCGAATCTAAACATTCAAGTTTCAGATATGGTTCTGACTCCAGCTTCCCTTGAGGCTTCAGGGTGTTCACGTGAGCCATGAGTCTCAGGCAGACTTCCCTCCTACTCTTGCGGTCGATGCTAACAGTACTGTTTCCAAGCCCCTTTCAGACCCTGCCTACCCACGCTTTCTCTGAAACAAAAGGACCTATGCAATTACTATGTGAGTTTATGAAGAAAAAGTTTGTATTTATCCTTTGAAACTGATAAAGTGTTTTACAAGTTCATCACTTTTGTGGTAATTACTACATTTGCAATTGTTTCACGTTCCTAGGATGCAAAACCTCTTTGTTTAGGTTTTGATTCTCAGATTTCCTTTCACATCATTTCAAATCATTCTCCCTTTGCAGTTACCACCACCAAAGGTGGCTCACCTCTGTGCATCGGAAATTGAAAGTAACAAACAACCAAAGCAGCTCCTGCAGCTCCTCATATTTCACGCAAAATCTTCCACACATCCTCTCCAAAATCTGCAGTCCTAGCAGCTTATCTTCATAAGCAGTAAAAAATTTCACTTATCAAATGCTAAATGGAACTTAGCCCTTCCCAAAGGCTGAAAACTGTGTAAGCTGCATCATTTTCAGACCACGACATTTCCACACTGGGCAGGCTTCCCACAACTCCTTTTAGTCCAGTTGAAAACCAATCATTTACCCCTACACTGAAGGGGAGCAGAACATTATTCTGGAAATTCAGCTTCCACGCCCGTGTCTGTTTTTCAGCCCTGTCTCCCACATAAGCATCACAAGTCAGAGGACATAGTTTAGAAGAAAAACAAGGTTCAGTTTTCTGACTTCAGCATCATTTTCTATAACTATCTAGAATATCTGATGTGGTGGGTGACTCAAGTCGGTTTTTTTTAAGTTCTCAAATTTAGACACATGAGCAAACAGGCTTCGTTTTAGACGTATTTCATATGCGGGAATGACTCGAATGCTCTTCTAACACACTCCTTGACAGAGGCTCGCAGCCTTAGACACACAGGTCCAAATGCAGACCAGAGCCGCGTAATCCTAGAGACAGCCGGTCCGAAGCGGTGGGCCAACAGAGCCGCGCTCCGTGCCCCAGCAGACGCTCCGTCCGCGCCCCTCCTCGCCT